CCCCTCCTTCTCTCAAAGGTCCCAAATAAGTGCAGTTCCCAGCAGTTCAGGAAGTGGCCTGGAGGGTTTCAAGACGTATCCGATCTTCGCTGAACTCAAAAACATGTTGGACAAGGTTTGAGGACCCGCTGTTACTAAGAATTGCATAATTTAAATTAGGGATGCTCGATTCCCATACTGCGGTATCAATCCGATGTTGGGCAAAATTTCCGAGTCGAAACATTAAAATCAATATAGCCTGTGCAGCACGGTCGCGGCATGCAGGAGAAGTAAACAAGGCGTCGGATTGATATCGGTATCGGCCAATACTCAGAGTTGCAGTATTGGTATCGGACATTAAGAAGTTGTATCAAACCATCCCTAATCTAAATTTAAACATTTTTTTTTTGTTAAGAAATAAGACTTACAGGTGGTCCTCGGTTTATGACGTCCTCGACCTACAGCGTTTTGGTGTTATGTCGCCATCTTTTATGAAAAAGTTTTACAAATTTATTAAAAAGTCTTCCAATGTACTGCGTTAAAGGAGATTTTGGACGGGATACAGTTAGCAAGAGGAGCGGACGAATGTTTTTTTTTTGCGGTCTTTTAGCCTTTCATAGCTCCTAAACTCTTCTGATGTTTTTATGTCGTGTTAAATTCGGATGTGTTAGCTGTGTTAGCCCATGTGAGTGACCTACTACTACTAGCGAAAATCCAGTTACGATGCACCATAGGAATGGAACTCGGACGTAAACCAAAGGACCCCCCTGTAAAACGAACCTCAAATCTTCCAGTGGACATTTGTATTTGTGTCACAAGGGTTGTTTGCTTATTTGTTGGAACTCATTGGCCTTCACGACTCTGCAGGAAGGAGAGGAGCTGGTCAAGAAAGTTGGAGCCATCAGCGTGTTTGAGGTGAAGGATGGACCCAACGGAATGGAGACGACTTGGCTCGTGGATATGAAAAATGGCAACGGTTCAGTCAGCAGTGGACCAGGTACATAGGTTTTTGAAATAGATCTTTGCTTTAATTTAAGGAGGCGATCATTAGCGACGACCATTGACAATTTAGATGATAGATGGACATCTTTTGGTGTTAAAAGTAAGGCTGAGGTTGACAATGTATGGACATCATTTTCTTCTGCTGTTGTCTTTTTTTTTTTAAATAACTGAAAATCCTCTTTTTGGTATGCGTTCTGGTGATGGCTGCTAAACACAATCAAAATTCTCTGCTGTTTTGCATGGATCCTGTCAGGTGTTATAGAGCCATTTTTCTGCTGCGCGGCAAAAACGGTTGCTCTCAATAGTACGGATGACAAAAGGAAGCACCTGCCGTGGAAACAATTTGAAGCATTTTCTTTAGGAGCTAGCCAACTGCTCTGCACGACCCCGGGGTTTTTGGAGGCCTTAGAAATTAAATTTTTTTATCCCCGACTGTGCTGTGGTTCCGCCAAGTAAAACAAGTAAAACTGTACTCCGACCTTCTGGTTATTGATACCAGGTATGGAGAAAAAGTGTGGCCGTGTGTTTGTTTACATCAAGAGGGGAAAGATAACGGTTAAAAAATAATGGGAATCCATTCTGGTTCTGCCCAGACAGCGCCGTTGTGAGCGGATGACAAAACATTTCATTTGCATCAATTTACAGAAGAAACACTTTGCTCACTTTGCTCATTCAGCCGTGGCCTACTTAACCGAGATGTTTGAAATCTCATTAGAAAACCTATTGGAGGCTGACAATGGCAGTCACACAGTCTGTCTTCAGACAGAAAGGAGACAAAAACTCATTGAACTATGGACTGTACACCTAGTATGCAGTGTGTCACGTACTAGCTTGAAAGATAATACGGCAAACAAATGTGTAACATTCATGTTGCAGAAACAATCGAATGACACGTTAAAAAAAAAAAAAAAAGAAATTCATACTGCAACTTTTATTTATTTATTTTTTTATTAAATAATGAATCATTAATTTTACCCATCTCTTTGGTGAGTGGGGATTGATATCGCTGCAGTCTATTGGTGCTAATTTCCATTTGGCTCCTGTTTAAACCGCACATAAATTCATACAACGGACCAGGGGACAAACATGGATTTATATGGAGTATATAACACGCAATGAACAATATTTGTAACTTGAATAAATATGAATCAATTGCAGAAACATATATGAATACCTTATGGTGTCGTTAGCTAGTTACTGAACTGTTGGTTTAGCTTTAATTGCTTTTTTATTAAGTGTAGCATCTTTAAAAAAAATAATCGAAAAATATGCTATAAAATGAGAACAAGGTCAGCTAATGGAAAAGTTGTCATGGCATTTTTAAAATAGATTATGTAAGTGTTTTTTTTTTTTTTGCACTAATGGCCATTTAGTTTCGTCCTTGGGGATGGAGTAAACATTTCCTCCACTGACAAAATGAAATGAAAGTGTTTTCCGGTAAACATGATAACTTGTTTGTCAAGAGACTCTTACAAGGATGTCTTACGGTCGTTCTGAATTTTAGTAGTATATTTTATTCTTCTGTTTCTCTTTTAGGTATAAACGAAACGGTAGACTGCACCATCACCGCTAATGACGAAGACCTGCTGTATGTGATGACAGGAAAGGTGAAACCAAGAGCGGTACGTGTTGACGTTTTTTTATTTAGAAACACAGAAATGGAGAAAACAGAGAAGTGCAGTTGGATACCTGTCATAGAAAAAAAAACACTCCCCCTGCTGGTCATTATAGTTCCATTACAGGTCAAACCTGTGACGACTCTACGACTCGTGTCATGAGTGTATTGATTTCTCTCTAAAGACATATCCGTTAAGAAAAAAAAAACGAACCCTAACCCCCGAGAAAACCTGGGATCAGGACGAAATCTCCAAACGAACACTTACACTTCCTACAATAAGTACAACTCCTAAAAGTCCATTTTCATCATTAAAATTTGGATTCTCCCCTCTCACTTCCTCAGGCATATCTCAAGGGTGCGCTAAAAATCACTGGGGACACGGAGGTGGCCGCAAAAATGACAAAGATGCTCGTGGCAGAAAAGGCCAAGCTGTGAGGCCTTGGTCGACTGTTCTCCACCGCGAAGCACAACCTCAAATTGTGAAAGTGTCGTTTTGCTAATCAATCAATCAACTTCCCTGGTGTAATAATAAATAAATAATAAATATAATAATAATAATAATTTATTATAATAATAATAAATATCTAATGCACTTCTTTCTGTCAGAAAAAAGGGGGGAAAAAATGTACTTTTTGTTATTTATAGTTAATTGTTGTTACGATTGTACTGGTCCCGCCTGATACACAAGAAAATTTTACATAATTAAAAAAAAAAAAAAAATCAAGAAAATAAGCAACGGTTTGTTTCAAAAGACGTATAAAGCATATTACGTAATAACAATCTAAAAAGAATAATTGCTGCTTTTGTTTCAAGGGTTTAGTAAAACTTTTCCCTGCAATACCCATGTTTCCCCAATAGGCGGGGTAGAAAATGATACATTTGAGCCTTTATGCGTGACTTTTACATGTCATTTATCTGAGTTTCCTCAGTGAGACCTATGGTCCTTAAGCGTAGTCTGACGTCAGGCGTTTCCATAGTGGGTCTGAAGAGTCTTGTTTCATCAATATAGAATGTGGTGTCTATGTTTTTTTTGCTTTGTAGTTCATGACTCTTACATCAAAGGAAAACATATCCCTATCACCGAGGCCATATGAACGGCTGCTGCAAAACACTCATCTGTTCAGGGAGTTTGGGCACGTCACAGTTCGGAGCTTTGAGGTTCCCTCCGTGTTAAAGGAATTTTTTTTTTTTTTCCCTCTGATGGAAAATATAAACATGTTTTTATTTTGTATGATTTATTCATCATTTAATTGGTTTTCACTCACTGTAAAACGCTTTGATTTGAATGTGATCGGAAGTGACTCGTTCTGCCGCGTATTTCACATTTACATACACATGCATCGGGGGGGAAAAAGCTGCAGGGGTGGCAGGATGTTTTGACATTAAAACTTCTTAACTAACACTCGCACGTTCTGTGACTGTAATTAGTTCATAGTGTGTGTACTTATACTGCTTTACTGTGTACTCTTGATATAAACTCAGTATAATATAGTGTATATACGTTCCTCCGAGTAGTAAGTGCGGACCATTTCAGATGGTCTGCGGAAACGTTTAATCCATCCCATCTAGCTACGTCGATTGACCTAAGGCATTGTCCGAACCTGTGGAGGGCCCCGGTCCCACAGCTTTAGATGTATTGTCCACCTTAAGAATCCACCTTAAATTGCTCTTGGCCTTGTGCTTCGGCCGGCGCTTGTCCTCAGCCCTCATTGTTCTGCCTCCACCTTCCTCCTACTCCATCTCCTCCAGCCTCGAGCCTCTCACCCAATTATGTTCAGTAAAACATTTCCAACTAATAGTCGGTGTTTCTGGTGTCTCTCGCTCCCCAGTCTCCCCTGTCGCCCACGCACTTAATGTAGCGCAGGTATGTTTTTCCCATATGAAGCATTTTGCAGAATAAATACCAGTAAGTCCATGTTTTTCCTCCCTTTGCTTTCATGCAAACAAGTACGCGTGTTTAAACAGCAGAGAATATTCGTACATTCGTGAAATATAATTCGAGTAAAACGTGAGTTCGTGAAATATAATTCGACAAATGAGAAAATGTTACCAGATTGTCTTTAAATGAAGAAAGTAAAACGTGAGTGGATTCTCTTTGAATGAAGTCAATTATTATGAATATTTTTTCTGCCGCCCGGAACCAAATGATCTAAGTACCAGTACCGGTCCGCGGGCCGGGGATTGGAGATCCCTTTGTTACAGTGTAGTGTTACATGGATAGGATATTTATAATTCTTCCTACTTTCATTTCAGCTGTAAAAGGCAGATGGATGGCCTTTTTCATATTAACCTTTCAGTGCAGTCCGGCTTTGAAATCTTGAAAAGGAACGCCGTTTAACCCCAACTGTCAAGCGAGATCGAAATAGAGCGTTATGAATAAAAAGAAGACAAGGGTATTTATTCAGTGAAAGCTTCTTTCTCATCCATGACTTTGACATGATGTCTGGAACACAAGTCCTTTGTTTAGGAATACGTTAGAAAGAACGCTACACATTCAGTTACATACGATGTCATTAAAACCAACACGATTTACTTCGACCTTCCCGTTATGCAAGACGTTCCTTTTTTTCCCCGTGTTTTTACTTCTGGCCGCTCTCATCTTTGGAGAGTAGCCCATGAATGCGATCAGTTCAGTTCTTCAAGTTTTCTACTTGCCCTTCGTTTGAGCTTTTCAAAAAAAAAAAAAACAAAAAAAAAATCTGCCGCGACGGCGCTGTTATACGTTGGTCTCCAGTCCGTTCATGTCGACTGAACATTGGTCCTTGTCCCTGTGGTCCCTCTTAGAATGAGACGAGTGAGAGTGTTTCTTTTTCGGTCGAATGCCTTCCTCCAGCTGCACGAGACGAGCCACGTCTGGGGACAGGTGGCGCTGTTTGCCGCCCGGCGGAGGAGGCTGATAGCAGCCGTTCTTCTGGTTCTGGTAGGTCATCATCTGCTGGATGCTTATCATGGGTTTGGTCTCACAGATGAGTGGAATCTGGAGGAGGAGGAGGAGGAGGAAGAACAGAGAAGGCTTTATGTCGGTGATTTGTCCCACGATACCATGGGTGTTATCCTAACTACTTGGTGATACCATAGGGTATGGTCCTACTAACTCAAGGCCTACCTACAGTACCATGGGTGTTATCCTAACTACTTGGTGTCTTGGGTATTTAGCAGTGTTTCACATGTACTCGAGGAAGACAGATGTTGACTCCTGTCCCGTTGATTGGACCTCTGATGCTCTCACCTGCTCACCCTCTTTGACAAAGTCCTTTCTGCAGATGTGAGCCATGATGCCCGTGGCTAAGGCGTCACCCATGACATTGACCATCGTCCTGAATCGATCCCTACATAAGAAAACCAGGTTATTTGGAAACTTATCAGCTTTTTCAAAAAAAAAAAAAAAAAAAAAGTTGTTGTCATTTCATGGAAAAAAAAAAACAATTTATTATCTCTAAAGCAATTTCCCTAAAGTTTGATTGCCTTGTTTGTCTTTCACGAAAGAATAACACCTTACTTACAAGGCCCAATCAACGGCAATAATTAATGTGATGTCATCAGTGGGGAGACCAACAGAGGTCAGCACAATCACCATGGTAACCAGTCCAGCCTGTGGGATTCCTGCCGCACCGATACTGGCTGCAGTAGCCGTGATGCTGGGAAAGGAAGCGTAAAAGAGCGGTATTTATAATAATTGCGTGCAGGGAAATCCATTGTTAAAAGTGTGTGTGTGCTCCGTACGGTGACATCCGTATGGAATGAGTGAAGTTGCTTCTGTGCATTGAAATGATTTACGCTTGGCTGTACTTAAGGCTAGCATAACCTTTCCCATACCATCCGTTAAATCGCGAGTGTTTGGCCCAAACTGACCTTTTAGGGCCTTGTGATTTAACGCGTGGGTTTGGATTTATTGATTAGACAAATTCCCAGTGCGTCTCGGTTCCTTGTGATGCATCTGAGTCTGACCTTTTTGTCAAAGGGGAGAGGAGGACGGTGTTGGAAGTTAGTGACAGATTCCTGTTTTCTACATTCGGTCGTGGTGGAAATAGTAGTATTTAATGCGGAGCTTTCTGTTACGGTGAGACGTGGAAACCAAACCGACAGGCCTTAGAGGATGTCTTAAGGAGACTCCGAAAAACATGCGTCAGCGCGCACTTTTCCCCTGTAATTCACCCTGGAGTGGTTCATCCGGATCCACTCCATTTCAGTTATTTCCACTTTCATCTGACTGCATATTATATAGGAGGTTAAAGAGAGCCATCCATAGGATACAGTATGATTTAAATGTCATTCAAATATGAATGGAATACGAATGCCACTTCGATGTTAATGTCCTCATGTCCAAATCTCTTTATGTCCAAATGCGTGTCGGTAACATACCGTATTGTCTGGACTATAAGTCACACTTTTTTCATCTATTGTCTGGGTTTGTGACTTATACTCAGGTGCCACTTATATATTAAAATATGTATGTTTTTTTTTACACTGATAGCCACTAGAGGGCACTCTAGGCTCGTGTACCACTATCTGCTACTCCTGTACCGCTGAAAATGTACATGTTCATTATTTTCACACTGACAGCCACTAGAGGGCACTCTAAATATATTGTTAATAACGTGATAATACGTAGGTTTTGTATTCATTTGTAGTATTTGTCGTCGTCTTGGTCATTGTTTATCTGCGAGAGTGTAACTAATGCAGTAGTATTTGCAGTAGGGAGAAAAAAGGGAGGGAGATGAAGGATAACATGAAATCTGAAATGATTTACAACTGGACTGTCAATTTAAAAAAAAAACAAAAACTTCGAAAACAGTTTGAAAGTCGAAGCACGAAAAAAGTGCGAAAAGGAGAGCACAAATAAATCCGTCTCAGACACAATAAACCAGAGACAGCTGAGGCAACATGTAGCAATAACGCTGATAAAGCTAGAAGTGAGTTCCAACATCCTGGTTATTTGTAGGATTTACAGCAACTCTCGATCACATCTGATTCCATCCTGTGATGACACAAGATGGAATCTGAGGACATCTGCTGTTCATTTGAATTTAATTTAAAAGATTCATACGCCCAGGCGCCTTCGGCAGATACTGTAATACACACACACTGTACAACTGCTAGAAGGTGTACAGTTAATTTGACCTCATTAGCATTTATCTTGTACTGATTCTAAAGGCCTCGGGGCAACTTGGCAACACATGATAGCTGGGATATGATTAATGAAAAACTGATGAAAAAACATATATATATATATATATATATAAGTCGTACCAGCCAGCTAGAGTGCCCTCTAGTGGCTGTCAGTGTGAAAACAACGAACCTGTAGTTTTTAGTGGTACAGGAGTAGCAGATACTGGTACACAAGCCTATGCGGCCAATTACGACTCCAAATGGAAAGTCGGACAACCTGTACTGTGAAAGGGAAGCCTCAGCTGTCGGGTTTAAAGGTGTTCGAGAAACAGCACAGAAAGTTTGGTGAACAAAAAATGAGAACTTACTTACTCATTTCTTTCATACATAAAAAATGAAAACTTACTTACTCATTTCTTTCATACATTTAAAAAAAAAAAACTGAATTGGAAAATTCTTTGGCTAACTAGCCAAATGCTTGTTTTTCAGGGTTTGTAATGTCCTTCAGAAACCAAAAGTTCTTTCAGCAGTTCTGTGCTTACCATACAAATCCCGCTGACAACATCCGAGGTTTCTTTTTCAGCCACTCAATTAAAAGTTTCCTTTTTCTATTTTTTTTTTCTTCTTCTTGCTGCTGACTCAATTTAAAAAGTTTCTTCGCACTTTGTAGCTTGTGGTTCCGCACGGCGCTCGTTGAATGCTAATAGTCTCTGTCATTTTCAGTGTATGCAAAGCCAACGAGGGACATTGACATTGCAGACTCAGGGAATTGTCTGTGCTCGAGCGTTTATCGACTACGTCGTTCAGTCCGAACCGCGTGTAAATGGTTTTGTTTTTTTTTATTTTTAGTAATAGTTGTTCCGCTGACAGAGCTTACGTGACTGAGAAAACTAGCAGCAGGAGAGCTACATGGAGGATGGGAACCAAATATACTACACTACTGCGGGGCAGACAGAGACATGAGTGATGCAGGTCACATGAGTTGTATCGCCATGGGGATTAGGAAAGGACGTGCAGGGACTGCGGTCGTGAATAAATGTTTGTTACAGTCAAAAATCAAATCAGAGAAGAGACTTTATTATTGAAGGCTTTGTTTGTTTAGATTTAGCTAAAACAAAAAAAAAAAACTGAAATAATTTAATTTATTTACGGTTGGAATTAGGGCTCTGAAATGAATCGTATTCATTTTTTTTATGGGATTGATTAAAGCGGGGGGTCAAACATACGGCCCGCGGGGCCAAAACCGGCCCGCTGGGGGGGGTCAATCTGGCCTAATTTTGAGAATTAAATTCATATTATTTATTAAGTGTTATACAATAATATATTCATACTGGTGTGTGGGTTAAGAGTTAAACAATTTAACAATTTAAAGTAAGTGGTGCAAGAGCTGCCACTAGGGGGCTCACAAGATAAAAATGGCAGATCGAAGGGTTTTTTTTTAAGTGGGATTTTTCCACGCAATAAAGACACGTCAATAATTTACATTTTCCTTGTGAAATTTAAAACCAAAAGCTGACATTTTAATTTGATGTGGGCGTGGCTAACCCTTGTCACATGACTCAAAGTTCTGTAATAATCCATTTAAAAACTAGCCTATTTACCTGTCCTTACCTGATCGTGATGATCTGCCCAAAGTCGAGCTCATAGTTGTTGACTTGAGCGATAAAGATGGCCGCCACGGCCTCGTAGAGCGCGGTGCCATCCATGTTGATGGTGGCCCCGACCGGCAGCACGAAGCGGATGATGCGTCTGTCGATGTGGTTGTTCTCAAGGAGGCACTTGAAGGTGATAGGCAAAGTGGCAGAGCTGCAGAAACAAGTATAAACATAAGGCCAGCGGGCCAAATGCGGCCCACCGAGACATTTTGCGCGGCCAGCGAGAACTTAACAACTATTTGATTTGCCTTATAATGAAGTCGCCCCACTGTTTGAGAAGCACTGACCTAGAGGAAGTAGCCAATGAGATGAGCAGGGCCTGCAGAATGCCTCTGATGTAAACTATGGGGCTCTTCTTGGTGATGAAAAAGTACATGGCCGGGAGGATGAACAGACCATGTAAAACCAGGCCCATCACAACTGTAATGGCATAGAAGCCCAGCTTCTTTCCCATGGCTGACGGGTCGTCCATTTCCAGGATCTTCCCGGCGACGAGAAACACAATACCGAAAGGAAAATACCTGAGAAGTACAGAGGGAGTGAGAAAGAAGTTCAAACTTTTATAACTATTGGTTAGCCCCGGCGTGGGCAAACGTTTTGACTCGCGGGCCAGGAGCAGATAGATGGAGTGTTCGTGTGAACTGAGATAAATGTAAAAGTCATGCATAAAGGCTTAAATGCTGAAATGCTTTTATCATTTTCTACGCCATCTATTGGGGAAACGTGGGTATTGCAGGGAAAAGGCAGAGGTATAATGATAATATAAATAAATGATGTAATTTGGAAAAGTTTGGTGGGCCGGATTACAAAGCTGAACGGGCCGCATCTGGCCCCCGGGCCTTAGTTTGCCCACACCTGGGTTAGGTCTGTGATAAAACATCAGCATAAGCCAATCAGAGGTAAAGAGTGCGTTGACACCCCTGAAAGAAATTTTTTTTTTTTTTTACTTTTCAAATCCTCTCGAGAGACATCGACTTGCTTTTTTTTGACTATTATGACTATTGATTCAAGTCAGGAGGGCCTCAACCGACCCACTTGGTGTTTCAATCTGGCCCGTTTGATGAATTTAAAAAAAAAAAAAAATTATAATAAATCAGAATAAATTAAGATTTATTTGATAAACTTTTACTTATTTGCGTGAAAAAAAAACATGGACTTTTTCCCAAACTTTATATTGGTCCTTTTTAAACACCAAATGAAGTGTACCTAGAAAAAAAAAAGCACTTTACTTCTTTTCTACTGTGCAATTCATTTGACTTTACCTTACTTATTTCTGTCACTTTCCTGTTTTGTTACTGCCTTTATTGATTCACTGCAGTGTTTGTTTTTTTATTCTGCAATTTTATTTGTTGTTGGCTGTTCAGGGGGAACAACATATAAATAAGATGAATCTTACCAGATGACTATAGCAACAATCTTCAACACCGCCTCATTCAGACTCTGACAAAAGTTGACCAGCGCACTCCCATTGGGTCCCATTCTTCCCAACATTATTCCTAGGAGAAAACACGACACCAATGGCCAATAGATTTCAGTCTGAATGAACGTAACCATAACGTACACGTTTATATGTCAATTATTTGTACCACTTTTACACATTTCATATTAGCACGACTAGCCGTGGTCAGAATCGCTCACCCATGGTCGCGGAGAATATAACGATCCCCAGCACGTTCATGCCTTCGCTGGTCCCGGGCGACGTCTTCATTATGACGTCAGGCGGCGGCGTAAGGTCCAGGGAGAAGTTCCGCACGTCTGTGCTGTTGTCGTCCTGGATGCCGTAGATGAAAAGACGACGTGTCGTGGTCTCGTCCATGAGCTGCGCCACCGTCGGTTTAGGAATTAGCTCAGGGACTCTTTGCGTGCGATACTTTTGAAGACCAAAAAGAGAAAAGAGTTAGGGTTCGGGAAAAGCTGCGAAAGCGCAGTCACAGTAAATTATTCTGCTGATTCTTTGACAAAATTAAAAATTTTTGCTATTTTGTATATATTTATATTTTATATAATATATTTCTTATATTTACTCGGATTAGTTTCGTAACATATAATCTCTTGTTTTTTTTTTAGTTTTAGCTATTACAGTCAACATAGATTTTCAACGTTACACAACAGTTTTTCAATCAAAAATTTAAAAAAAAAGCAAAAGCTCAGGCCAGAACTTCACCGGTGAACCAAAATATTTCAAGGGCTGGATGTAATTATTGAAAGTGCAAGCCTTGCTCCTACTCTAATAGGCTGCACATTTAGTTTTCTCCTCGATCAGGTTATTTTAGTTTACCTGTTGGAACGTAGCCTGAACCAGGTTTGCTGGAAACATGTTGCTGTGGAGCAGAAAGAGGGAGGACGTGAGTGAAGACATTCTGTGGGTGTAGTAGATACAGCAGCGACCGTTCGAGAACATTTGAACGCAGCTCTTGTGTGAGTTGTAATTGCATACAAGTAGCTTTTTATATCTCCGAAATGCTGCAGTAAAAACAGTATGTTTGCGAACATAAATCCTTTTAACGTTGCGATCAACCCTGAACTTAAATCGTTAAAAATCTTTTCACCTGAACTCCTTTATGTCCATCGTCCAGAAGTGGATTTCTCTCATAGTTCCCACTAGTGTTATTCTCTCTTTACCTTTATATAGTCTAGTGAAATCATTTTAGCCTCAAGAGGCCTACTCAGGTGCCACTTAAAAAATAAATAAAAATATATAATTTCATATGTTATTTTCACACAGTGACAGCCGCTAGGGGGCGCTCTAAGCTTACGTGTGCCAGTATCTGCTACTCCTGTATCACTGAAAATGTACATGTTCATTATTTTCTGCACTGACAGCCACTAGAGGGCACTCTAGGCTCGGGTACTAGTAGCAGCTACTCCTGTACCACTGAAAATGGACATTTGTTTTTTTCCCACTGACAGCCACTAGAGGGCACTCTAGGCTTATGTAGTAGTAGCAGCTACTCCTGTACCACTGAAAATTGACATGTTCGTTATTTTCAGAATAAATAGCCACTAGAGGGCACTAGTGGGACTTATGTGTGACGCTAAAGGAAACGTATGGTCAAGAACAGAGTCATCACGGCGAACTCTCGTTTAGAGTCCTGCGTGGACTTGGTCCGCTTGGTTGAACGCGTCCAAGTATACACACTCGTCCATAGTTTACGCGGTGGCACGTGAAAGGCGTGGCTGTCAACATGTGTGGATCGACTGCCTCATTGACAAAGGCTGTAAAGAAGCTTTGTGGGATAAATCTGTCCAAGGGACAGCTGTGCTGCGAAAACACCCACACACACAGAAAACCCGTTCCAACACTGCCACGTGATCAGCCAGTGTGTTTACAGAAGTTCCTTCAAGGTTAATATTATTTCTTTTCATATTAGACTTCGACTCTCTGTCTCCAACGGTTTTTCCAACAGTCGCGACACGCTCCTTTCCTTTCGTGCGTCTCGGCTTTGTCTCAGTTCATCGGCTCACGTCCGTCTCTCCCACCGTCCCCCTGACACAGTGTCTCTTTTTTTTTTTTCTTTCTTTCCGCGGAGGGTCAAACCGAGGTTCACCTCCGTGTCATTAACACCTTTATCCTTCAACGCTGCTAATGAGCTTAGCACAATAACCTAGTGGCATACGAGGTCTTGACGTGACCCACTCTGTGGCCTTTGACGGCGTTCACTTCTAATGGCACCTTGGTGGCGCTGTGAGGGAGGGACGCGATGTCTCCAAAGATGAAGACATATTACGCATTCTAATATTATTAGTAATATTAAATTAAATTAAACTAAGGCCCGGGGGCCGGATGCGGCCCGTTCAGATTTTTTATCAGGTCGCCAAATTTTTTTTCAAAATGATATAATTTATTTAATTATATAATTTTAATTAATTTAATTATATGATTTTATTATCATTATACTTCTGCCTTTTCACTGCAATACAAACGTTTTTTCAACTTTTTTAACGTTGAAAACCATCGACGGCAGGAGTGCCCACACTTTTTTGGCTCTGCGGCTGCAGCTTCAAATGACCAGTGGTAATGTGACCTACATTGAAAACGTTAAATATATGTTTGTTTACGTATGGCTCAGTGTAGCGTTTATCAGTCTAATATTGGTCAAATTTCAGGATCCGACACTATGACCTCAGCATTACTTAGTAAATAACAAAACGTTTGTCATTTTCCCGTTTGTTTTCATGCAAAAAAAAGTACATTAGATAAGACTTCGTATTTAGTGAAATTTTTTTTTTGTCATTTTTACAAAACATTTTCTAAACATGAAGTGTTGTTTTTTTTTTTGTTTTTTTTTATTTTCAAATTCATTAAGCGGGCCGGTTTTGGTCAGCGGGCCGTATGTTTGACACCCCTGTGATGTAGCTGCTCTATCTGTCTTGGGGCACTGATTCAATGTAGATATAGTCTTTGACATCGACCAGTAAGAACTCCCAAGGGATTAATAAAGTTCTATCTGTCTCTGTCTTAACGATTAGCCCCCTCATCAGCATTCTCTGATCTGGAGCGCAGCACGAGCGAAAGCAAATTCGAAGCCTCTGGGGGAAAATGAATTACGTTTTTACACTTCCTTTAAAAGTCTTAACGGCTCTCTAAGAGTCCACTCTGTACTTTATGATCCCAATAACAGCGAAGAGCCCATAAAGCATGTCGGGGAGGGGGAGGGGTCCACAACGAGTAATACTCTGCTTGGCATTATCCGATGATTTACCGTGTTGTGTTTTTTTTTTTTTTCAAAATTCCACTCTGATCGTTTGTAACCGGATTGAAAAGGACATTTACGGCTTTGTACGGCCATAAAACGCGCGCAGCTGCGGTGGAACGAGCAACAAAACTCACTTTAATTATGT